GTCAAAGAGTAATTTGACCATGGTGAATTACACCCTCAATTTTAGTAGAGGACCAAAAACTACCCTTGCCACCAGTCTACCAAAAAACAACAAAAAACCCTGGCAGTCCTAGTCCATTTGTAAACATCAGATTTGCTGGGCAGTGCTTCTAAGAATGCCAACCCTGCCCGTCGTCGGTCACTGCTACCACACTGCCACCTCCTGTCTTAGAACTCTGAAAGCTTGAATCAGATGCGACAATCGAGAAAGGAAATGGCTAAGAATAGCCACCCTCTCCTTCCTCCCAGACCAAACCAACTACCAGGGTTACTGAGCAGATAATTCACACCTTTCAAAAATTGGTTACTCCTAGAAAAATTGCTGCCTGAACATTGTTAAAGACAATTACAAAAACCTTGACTTAAAATATATGAAGGTGGCTGAACAGCTTTGCTTTAATACAAGCCCCCAGACCCATAACAACACATTAAGTGCAGTGGTGTACCTCTTAAAAGAATTTCAAAGCATGGCAAAAATAAGTTCCCTCTCACTACTGCCCAAAATGAATACACATACAAAAGCAACTGACCTTCCATACTACAAAATAGAAATACAAGTTCCTTATAGGGAAAACCATGGATCTCTGTAATTCCAAAAGATATTTAAAAACCTTAACTGGTAACTCATCTATTTCAAACAGAATGGCAAAACTCAGAAAAATATGCCCCTTGTAGTTTATTATAAAGGCATTTGGCATGAACAGAGAATGTAAGTGATCACACAAATCAAAAGGAAAGCCAAAAAAACAGAAGCCAAGATTCTGAATTCCCACTGGCTCCAAGCACTTGTCATGTTTCCATAACGTCTTCCTTGTTAATGTGGACAATCACACAGATGCTACTTACCAACATTCATTTAACTTTTTTTATTCTAATAAAGATAAAGTAAAAAAAATTTAAACTCTTTGAAACTATTAAGACAATATGAAATTTTAAAAAAGCAAAATCTTTTTGGCTATAACCACCTAAACAATCATGCATGACTGATTTTAAACTGAGCACTCCCAAGGATAACCCTGCTTATGGTTCTTCACCAGCCATGAAAGTTTCCTAACATTCAAATCTATGCATGTGTGAGAAATCTACCCAATGCACAAGTTTCACCTGTACACACTGATAAGGAGCAGCACAGCTATCCATACCTGTATTTAGATGTTCAGCATTAGAAAGAGCTTTTGTTGACCTGACCCAACAGGGTCTTATGCCTTGAAGAAGGAGCACATTTCTGGGCACATTGCCCCACCCTCTTCTTTACTTAATGGCTGTCAAAATGCAGCAATAACTTTTTTTTTTTTTTTTTTTTTTTTTTTGTTTATACATGCACTGGGTACAGTCAGAAGCGCGGGAGGGTGAGAGAATTCACCAGAGCCAGAGCGGGGAGCAGAGCAGGCAGAAGGACCGAAGTACACTGCTGAGGGGAGCAGCGGGCGGCAGGAGAGGTCTGCGTGCCATGTGGGACCCTCCTCTGGTGGCCGGGAGCAGCTGGGATCGAACCGGCGCCACAGAGGATGCAGGCAGCTTTGCAACCCAGAGCTCAACCGCTGCACAACCGGGGAGGCCGTGCAGCAATAACTTTTAAATAGTCACTTAAAATAAGATGTTTACAACCCCAGAAACTTTCATACATGCTCAATCTATACAATTTATATGGTAAACATCAGAATCTATTATGGAAATAAGCTGTTCACTTAACTTTTTTTTAAGCAAACAAAAAACAGACATTTGGGATTTGGCATATTTGCTTTAACAAACGCTTTCTGGAAAAATATTAGCAACTATATCCTACTATTTGTCACCTTTATTCAAATATATTTTAGCTATAATAATCCTAATCATAATGCTGACAGCTAAACCATCAGGAAATTTAAGCTGCAAAAATTTGAAAATATATTTATGTTCATAATTGTGAAAAGTCATGGAAAATGAACTAAAACTACCATTCTCTCAGTTTTCCAATGTCAGCAACTTTCCCATTCTTTTTCCCATGCCCAGTGATCCACGACATAACAAAAAAACTGCATCAGTGCTATTTACAAAATCACATAGGGGCACATACAAGGTCCCACAAGATACTGAGTATCAGACTCAGCTACAGTCTTTCAAAGTCACAAACCATATTCACACCCACCCTCCTCCCCAAGGGGAGCAAATTTTTTAAAGCTTATACCTCAGAGTAAAGTCAAGTCTTCTTGCTTTGTCTTATATTTGAAACAAAAAGTGCAACACTATTACAGATCTCCAACTCTATCTTCTTTTTGGATACAAGGAACCTCAAGTTCTGTGAAGTACTGCTATTATCTTCCCCAACTGAGGGGTATCTGAATGCAGAAAATCAACATTCCTTCCACATTCCCTTGAGACTTCGGTAAGCAGGAGCTAAACTTGGTCTGAACTAAACTCAACAATGCCTCTCTTCCTGTAAGGGTCCCTGCCTACCTATACTTGAAGTCAGAGTTGGGCCAGCCTGCCAAATAAACATCCAGTCACCTCCTGAAACTGCTCCCCTGTTTAGTTGCTGCAAGCCCATTCATCCATCTCAGAGTGCTTCCATAAGCATTCTCAGCACCCGCTCCCAACGTGCCTTGCACAACAGGTATAAAGGTCACTGTGGCATATGTGGGTGTGCCTGCCTCGGATGCCCACATGATGGTGGGATGGAATGTAACGACTGCTAAGCACAAAGAACTGGTCTACAACACTGGCACTCAACTCACTATCACCAATCCCATCCACCCAGACCTTCACATTGGTGCTGGCCATGTGGAGCACCACGTTGCCTTCTCTGCCCTCTCCGACTGCCTATCAGAGTGAAAAAAGTCCAGATAAGGGAAACCACATCACAATTGCAAGATTCAGCTAAAACAAAAATTTTATATAGTTTTCCAGCAAGCTTCCTTAGACAGAGAAAGTTCTACTTTTGTCTTAAGCAAATGACTAAAATATATGCAAAGGACTTTGATTGTTCTCAAAATCAGCAAAAATTCATCTCCTATGTAGTCACTCCTGCTTACAAGTAAGACAGTATAATTTAAAATCCTGAGAATTTTAATGCTAGTGAAAATCAATAAGGAATTTTAATCCATATTGTTAATAAACTGAAAAAACTTCCATTGGTAAGTAAATTGCTGACAACACTTTACCTTATATTCCTTCCTAAATAGCAACTCCTGTTCCTTATTTAAAAAAAAAAAAAAACAAGTGACTAAGTATGTCTTTAGATTGGGTAAAAGCCTTTCAAAAAAAAAACAAAAAAAAAAAAAAACAGGGAGTCTTTACTACATGATGTTTTTAACTTAATTCCCTACACATGAGGAGAAATTCACACCAGGCTGGAAAGTAAAAAATCAGGAGAGTAAGTCAGAGAAATCTGCACTGACACTCAGGTCAATGAATTATATCCAAAAAACAAGACATTTAATCATTACTATTAGAAATTCACAAATGTTAAAATGCCAGTCCCTCAACACAACTCTTATTTTTTAATTCAAAATTTGCAGGAAATTAAGGCACTGGCTAAACATGAGCCAATTGGAATTTGCAGAATGTACTTATTTTTTCCCCTAAGCAACCAATTCAGATTATGCCTCTAAACCAATTTTAAAGAAGATATATCTTCTCACTCTGTAATTCTGATTAAACTGACTTCAAGTTAGATACTTTACAGTGCATTCTACTTTAGAATCTTTTAAAAAATAACTACATTTTCCTACATGAAATAGCTCAACACCTACAGAAACTCTTAACTACAACTAAACCAGGGCACATGAATGAATCCCTTTCCAATTATTCTAGTTGAAATTAAGTTCATGAACAAGAGAAGTCCTCCAAATCCAACCCAGCTCAGTAACAAAAACAAGATTTGTGAAAATGTTTTACTGGAAGAGAGCTCAATCTAGAAATCTAGATATATGATAACACCTTATATAGCCATGTCCCTCCGCACAGTACCAGGTAGAGAGCCAACCCCTCAAGCTCACACACTCTTACCAATATCTAATCAACACACACAGTCCTAGTTTAAATTAACTTTCAGTGTATTGCTGGGCCCAGAATGGGAGTGGGGGATGGGAGAGAAGACAGAAACTAACCCCACGGCGCAAAATCCGGAGGGAGGAGCACATTTCCAGTTAAGAATCACAGAGCCAAGATTTGGCTTGGTCCTAAGGAGTCATTTCTCCAAAATACTCCAGAGGTTATATAACATTCTCCCAACATTCTACCAAGTGGCACACTACACATGCTCTCCTAAGAAGAGCAATCCCCTCACTTAAGTAGCACAAATATGCAGATCTTCATGTTGGAAGCAAAAACATTTTCTTAAAGGGGGAGATGAATGGAAAACAAAAGAGCATTTGCAGAAAACTACCTAACGCTGGAGTGAATGAAAGCCCTTCTGAGTAGGAGAAGCCCGGGCTTTCATTCACGCTTTCCAATCCCGGCTGGTAGCTAACAGGGTAAAGGTAAATTCCTCTCCTCTTACATGTGGGGATGGCCTCCCAAACCTCTTAGCCTGGTTGCTGCCAACTGGGGTCAGAGTAAAAAAGGCGAGACACACCCGCCTGCGACTGCAGCTGCTCCTGTCCATCCATTACTTACAGGTGGGGGGCGGGGGTCATACACGGCTTCCTAGACCTACAGAACTGCCTTTGAAACTGTTTTCTTGGTGTAGCACCCTGACCTACTCCGCCAGAGAACATTTAGCTGTGCGAACTTCCTTGAGAGAATTTTATACCAATAACAATAATTCAGTGGCAGACTCCACAAATGCCCTCGGTTCCTTGGAAGCATTCCTTACGCACACTTAGAGACACACTTACAGAAGACACACACACCCCTGTCATAAAATTAAATGCAAAAGTAAAAGATGAGAAACGCCGCTTAAGAGAAAAAGAAATTGTTTTCTGTGGCGTTAGGAGTCTTTCCTTCCAATTATGGGGTAAGAACAAGAACCGATGAGCTCACCTTTGCCTTTTGGGGACCGAGTGTTCGACTTCTATGGGTTTTCCGTGCAATTCCACCTTACCTGCGGACACACAGAGGTGGAAGACAGTTGGCAAGGGTTAGCACAGCAGCTCCCCTGGCCGGAAAGACCCGCACGGTCAAAGCGGCGACACAAGTGGTCTCCTGAGAACTCCCAGGAACTTAGCAGGACGCGGCTCAGGGCCCAGAGAGAGACGCTGACCCCCTGGGGCTCGGCGTGTGTAACTTACAGGTGGGCAGGGAGACTGGCTCACAACTTCGGCGACAACCTTCCCCCTAGGCCTCTGCGCCCACCCCCCGGGTCACCCAATCCCTCGACGCCCGCAGGACCGACGCTGCCCCTCCACCCTGCTCCAGAGGACAAACTCAGGAAGGGAGCTGGGGCGGCTCTCTTCCCCCGCTTCAAGCGCAGACCCACCGCTGCAAGGAGCGGGGCGCAAGGCTCGAGGACCCAAGGGCAGGCGCCGCAAGAGCGGGCGCCCAGAGGTGCATCTCCCCGCGGAAGGAACGGCGCGCGACGGCCCGCGAGGCGCGCGCCACACCGAAAAGCCCGCGGCCGCGCGAGGGCCCCCGGCGCTGCCTTCCCCTGCGGGATTCGGTCCCGCCCGGCCGCCCCACGGCGCGCGCCCCGCCACCTCGCCAGGCTGCAGCCCGCGGCCCCGCACAGCAGCCAGGGCCGCCTCCCCGGCCACCAGCGGCCGCCCCCGCCCACCTGCCCTTCTGGCTCGTCGGAAGGGAGGAGGCTGAACGTGGGGCCCAGGTCGCACTTGCTCGCCTCCCGCAGGGCGGAGAGGAAGCGTGGGGGCCTCGGTGCGCGGCGGGCGGGGGACACTTTGCGTTCTCCCGCCGCCGCAGGCTGGGACAGGAGGGAGGGGAGAGAGACGCCAGCGCCATAAATAACGAGCAGAGAGGAAGGAAGGAGAAAGGAGCGAGCGTTCGCGCTCGGCCCCCGAGGCCCGGCACGCCGGAGCCCGGAGCCGCGCCTGGGCCGCGAGCCGCGCGAGCGCTGGGAGGCGGGCGCCGGCGGCCGCGCCTCCCCCAGCCCAGTTCGGGGCGCCCGGCCGGGTCTCTGCGCCCCTCGGAGTCCGCGCCTGGGCTTTCTTGACAGCGCGTCCGCCCTCCGCCCGCAAACCCCCCGCCGGCGGACGGGAGCCCCGGGGGCCGCGGCCGTCCCCAGACGGAGTTCAACACCCCGACCCCACGCGTCCGGGCGCCCGGGCCTCGCTTCCTCTCCCCGCCCGCACCCCGCCTCGCCCGGGCCCGGGGCCCCGCGTGGACACCGAGGCGGCGGCCACGGGCCTTGGCTCCCGGCCCCTGACCCCGGCAGGCCCGGGCGGGCGGCGCGGGCCGGGGGCGCGCGCAGACACCCCAGCGGGGCCGGCCGGGGCCCACCTGAAAGCGCCTCGATGGCCTTGAGGGCCCAGCTCTCGTCCGGACAGTCCACGAACGCGTAGCCCGTCTTCACCAGGAAGGGTCCCGACACCGGGATCTTGGCGTCCTTGAAGACACTTTCCAGGTCCGAGGGCACGGCGTGGTCGCTGAGGTTTCCAATATACAGTTTGTTCATTGTTCAGAGTGGTCGTTTAAAAAAAAATAAGAAAAACGAAAAATTAAAACCACCCCCAGTGACGGGCGGCTGCGGCGGGCTGGGCGCCCTCGTCCCCTCGCCGTTGGAGCGCGCACGGCAGGCGCCGAGGGCCGAGAGAGCCGCGGCAACAAACCCAATGGGAGGGTTCTCGGTTTTCGTTTCCTAGCTATTAAAAAAGGAAAAGAAAAAGCCTCACTACACACCAAATGCATCAACGAGTCTTCCTAACTCTGAGGAGGCGGGATTAGCCAGAAAAAGGCGAGCCGGAGGGGGCGGGGGGGAAACTACTTTTTGTCTCTTCCTCCCCGGCCTCTCGCGGCGGCCGGCGGCCGGTGGAAATATCACACTCCGGGAGGCCCGACGCCGCCTCCCCGTGAAAAAAAAAAACCCGAAGGGGTGACTGGCAGCGGGGAGGGGAGAAGGGGTGGAGGAAGGCGCAGGAGGCGGAAAAAATCCGCTCCGAGTGTCCGGCTTTTTGAATGAGCCACGTGTTCAAACTACAAATCAACGTCTCACGTGAGGAATCCCAGCGCCTCAATTAGAGTGGGTTTGGGGGGGGGAGCGAGCGCTAGGCGGGGGAGGGGAGGGGAAACGAGATTGGGCGAGGGGCCCGGCGGGAGGGGGAGGAAGGGAAAAGGCTGAAGGAGCCGCAGCCGGGGCGCGCGGGAGGGGCCGGCTGTCACGACGCGAGTTTGGAAAGGGTTATCTGGTCGGGGCGGGCCCCGCGGGGGCGGGGAGGGAGAGCAAGCTTTAAAAAAAAAAAGAAAAGAAAAGAGGTGCGGGTGGAGGGTGCTAACTAGGCAATGCTTCAGCTCTCGCGGCCGCAGTTTTCCATATGCAATTGTTGGAGGTGATGAACAAATCAGAGAGTCGCGATCCCGAACTCGCCCCGCGGCTCTGATGACAGACGTGCAGCCCCGGCCGAGCCCAAAGCACGTTTTCGGGGCGGGCAGGGGCGGAAACGCGCGGGGCTGCAGCGGCGGGAGAGGCGGGCGGCGCGCCCCACCCCGCACCCCGCCCCGCACCCCGCCCCGCACCCCCTCCAGGCGCGGGCGCGGCGCGGCGGGCCGTGGGGGATGGGCGGCCGCGGGCCCGGGGCGGGCGTCTGGGCGACACCTCCTCCGCCCCGCCGGCTCGCGGGGGCTCTCGGCTTCGCGTTTGCCATTGGCTGCGCGACTCAGAAAAGGCTCCGGGATAAATGAGGCGGGGGGCGGGCTTGGCCTCGGGTGGGGGAGGGGAGGGGCGGGGAGGGGAGGGCAGGGGCGGGGGTTCGGGCTCGGGCTTGGGGGCGTGTGGGGCCGCCGAGGCCCGGGGAGAGCGGGCAAAGTGGGAAAAGTCGGTGTTTAAAGGAAACGATTTCTTCCTGGAGTTTGTGAAGGGGGTGTTGGGGGAGGCTGGTACTTTTATTTAAATTATTTTAGTTGGAGAACTTGGGACTCTTCAAAACAGGAAGACCGCTCTGCCTTCCCCCTAGGTGGTATTCGCACTTGAGAAATTGTTCTTGTCTCCTTCTGCCTGTTTTCTGCCCGCATTTGGTCATGAGAACTGATCCTGCTTCCCCCTGTGTGTAATGAGCACAATGGTGGGTGTGTGGGAAAAGGGTCTGGGCCCGGTGGAGCCTTCCTGGGCCAGCAGATTGTGGGCTGCAGGAGGAATACGGAAATGAGCACAGTTCTGGGGGAAATCGCCAAGTGTCGTTTCAGGATTGTGTGCTCTGCTCAGGCTTCATTTGCACCAGATACTTGTGGCATATTTTTAACAAGTATTTCATGGGAAAGATAGAAAATGCTGTTTTTTCAGTGAATGGAGTTCTATGTAGGATGGAAATATAAACAATCTTCAATGCTAGCTCTAGTGGAGCCATTCATTACTTAGAACGATTACAATGTACTGTATGCTAAAAAAGATACTGTGATTTACATTGTGACATCTTCAGTAATTATGACATTTGATAGAATTTGTTTCCCTTGGTCATACCTGTAGATGTCATTTAAAAGTGTATGTTTTCCAATTAAAAGACGAATGGTAGTTACTTTTTAAAAATACATGGGAATGACTGTGTGATAACAAAGAGTATTCACTTTTTTTTCTTTTAAAAGGAACTTATTTTTCAATTTTGAGTTAAGGAACCGGAAGGTGTCAGATCACCATTTCAGATGCAACTGTGCTCTCGAACAGGTTTGTCTTTCCTGCCAACCAAATCCAACCTTTAAAGCGTAAGCTCACTTTTACAATATTTTCATTCACATTTAACTTAGTAAATTGTTCTTTCTGATATAGAAGAACAAACTCTGTTTTTGTGTATTACTATTTAGCCCTGTGTTTTCTACCTTCAAAGAACATTTTGGTGGGGAAATTTTAAGTTTATACTTTAGGTTTAACTTTTTTAAAGAGCTTAGCCTTCCTTTTGTTTTTAAAAGCAAACATGGGTTCTAAAAAAGGATGAATTTTTTATGACTTGTGTGGTATGCAAACTAAGTATCAAAAGTTATTAATTTATTTTTCATGTACCTGTTGCATGTGATCAACAACTGTATGCAGTAATATTTTTCATTTAGTAATATTTGTTTTTCTAAATAACATCTCAATTTTACAGAATAGCCTGTTGATCATTTAACTTCTAGTAATTTTTTATAAGGACAAATTTCATATCTACAGCTTGTTTGCACAGTCAATTGAAAAGTGTCTTCTGGATTGTTGGCTGGGTTTTCTCTTATTAAAACCGAGACCTTAAGGAAATATCTACTTCCAAAGCATGGGGTAAATTGTTTATTTTCCATAAATACTAGCCCATGCTTGTCTGTCACTATCAAACAAATCTAACAGCTGGAATTGAAAACAAGTGTGTGCTGTTTTGGTGAAATATGTTTCTGGGGCTCTTGTGAACTTAATCTGTGTATTATTGTAACCAAACTGGATACTCCCGTTAACGACCTTAAAAACATACACGAATTATGCAAGCTCAAACATCAAAAAGAGAGGGGCATAATTCCAAGTATCCCTTCCAAGCTTTGGAGGGTAAGTACACTCAATGACTAAATAAGAAGAGCATGGGTAGTTGTTTTTGGTTTTGACTAGCATTTCAAGCGCAAAAATACCTGATAGATTTTCAAGAACGAAAAGGTCAATCTAACTTCCAGCTTTGTGATAGGTTTCACACAAGAAATTTGCTGTGTATATGGGCTACTCCAAATTCTTCTGAAGCAGTTGCAGTTCTTAATGTGAACTCCATGAAGAAAGGATTCCCACCCATTGTATATGCTCTGTTGCTGCTGAGTCCCTCCAACTGAGAGCCTGTTTACTCTTTGGACAGCTGCACCTCCTCCTTATCCGCTGACCTAAGGATGATAAAAATGTTTCTTGTGGTTCAATGTAACACTAATGAAGAGAAACTGTGTGTAGTAGGTCCTTTACCCACGCTGTACCCCAGGGTCATGAGCGAAGACAGACCAGGTAAAGGCGGTGGGTATATTGGCCATTCTCGGTGTTTCCCCCTCACTCCCTGCTGGCCGTAAGCAGGAGCCCTTCTCTCGGGTGGACACGCAGAGCCGCCGCTTCGCCTGGGCCTCGTAGGGGGCATTTCTTAACCGTTTTTGTTCCTTCACACAGCTATCCAGGATCTGCTCTGTTCAAGCCAGATACATGATAAGTGGTAATGTGGTTGTCCCCTCTCTTCAGGATCTGCCTTCATTTATTTGGTTTACAATAAAAAATGGTGCCCCAGCAGAGAAGATGGGGCTGTTTCCTTTTCCCCCTGGCTCTGCCTGGAGAGAGAGGGCGGGATCCTTGCAGCTCACGGGGGAAGATCCATCGTCGGCCGGCGGCTCGCGTCGAAGGCCCTCGACCACTGAGCGGCCCCGACCCCGCTGCGAGCCGGGCGCCTTCGGCCCCGCCTCGCGTCCTGTCCCTCCGCGCGCAGCAGCGTGGACGGCTTAGACGTGGGGGCTGGGAAGAGCCCGCAGCGTCCCCCGCGGCGCTGCCCACCTGAGGTCCTCCCGCGGGGGCGAGCCAGGTGGCGCGCGGCCGGCCACCCTCCCGCACCTCCGGCCTGGCTCCAGTGGGCCGGCGGGCCCCCCGGTGCCGGGGGATGCTCGGTACCCACGAAGAAAGCCCGCAAAGAGCCCTCGCTGGACCCGGCGCCTCCGCCGGGGGCGGGGCGGGGACAGGCGCGCAAACGCGGCCCCGGGGCGGGGCTCCCGCGCGCCACTGGGGCCGACTCGACGAGCCCAAGTTGAGCAAGCGGCGTGGAGAGAGACACCGCCCCTGGCGGGGGAGGGGTGGGGGCTCCCCGTCTTGCGATTGGTGGGCAGAAGGGGCCTATCCCCGTCGCCTCCCTCCGCCAGCCGTTTGCTGGTCTCCATTCATTGGCCCCCGAGCCGTCCCTGCATTTCCATCTTTTGTGGCGCGAAAATAACCCTTTGCTCCCTCTTGTTGGTTTTGTTGAGGGATGAAATTAGGTTCCCCTCTTCATGGTCTCGTTTTTCCTGCCCTTTAACTGCGAGCCCCCGGCCCCAAACCCAAAGGAGGTAACTAAGAAGGAGCAGCTCTGCTCGCCCCCGTGGAGCGGCCCCCGCCCCGGCCGCGTGCTGCCCGCAGAGCGCGCTCCCTTCCCCCCGTGCCGCTCCCGAGGTCGGGGGTGTGCGCTGTGCTCAGCATCTGGGGTCGCAAAGTTTCCCTGCCCGTCTGCAACATCTTAGCATTTGTGCGTCTTTTTTTTTTTTTTGGTTAAAACAGCAAAACACATTTCCAGATGCCTACACTTTCCTGGGCTTCTTGAGAAATTCACCCATTCTGCCCCCTCCCTTCCCAGCCCCCTTTGTGGTCCACAGGGTTGTTTTAAGTAAAACCAAACAAACCCCTCCGAAAGAAAAGCAAACGAAAAATTCCGGGTAAAATCAACTATGCCGAGGCCACGTTTTCGTTGAAGCTGCCCTAAGAGCAGAAGAAGCTTGAGACCGACCTTGAAGGATTTGCGATTTCCGTAGCTGAAATGTTCTAAATTTACTGACGTTTGGTGGACGCGGTGAGGGGAGAAAAAAATAAACATGAATTTAGCTTGGAAAATCACAAAGCAAACGAAATAATCGTTTAATTTGATTTTTGAAAAGCAAACATCTGTAGTGGTGTATTCTAGATAGTGGTATCTTTAGTGCGTTAAACTTATAGAAATAAACGTCTATTGGTCTTCACAAAATTAAAGATCACAACTCTGGGCATGACAGAAAAGAGGGAAGTATAAATTTGGTATAGCTAATTTCATAACAGACTTTTTCAGTTCTTTCATTATCTAGAGAAAAGAAAATGTACCAGTTAAAAATATAATAATAACCTGTTCACGTGAGATTTCATTGTTCATTTTTCAAGTCGACAAAATATTTGATTTGGTAAAAACCAATAAAACGACAGTTTCCCAGTATGTATTGAAAGCGTTCACAGAATTAGTTTAAATCAGTGAGTTCAATTTTCTGTCTTAACTCTTATCTAGTAATCTTCCAAAGTTCTTTTGGAAAACTGTTCCTTGTTCAGTTCTGTACTATTTGGTTTTAGTCTCTAAAAGTCAACTAACTGAAGTAACAAATTGACATTTGCCAAAGTAGAAAAAAAATTACTTTTGAAACAACCTTTCAAAACTGACCCAGTTAAGAAAACCTATTTTAAAATACATATTTTGTTTACACTTTGCATACTTCAAATGCATTTCATTAATGTGAAGTATATGTTTTCATATAAAATTATTTCTCAGAACCATCAAAGTAACTTACAAATGGTTTCTTTTGAGTTGAACAAATAAATTGAAGCTGAAAGAAAGTTTATGTTATAAATGCTAAAGATTATATTGTTAATAATTTAGATAACCCTTAAACCTAAGAAATTTTAAATGTGAGACATGCTTATTTATAAAATACTAAGTTGGGGTTTGTATATATTCTGCAATTTTTATATTCTGAAAATGAGGGGGAAATAGTAGAGAAATTTTTAATTGTAAGAATTAAGTTTCCAAATTAATCTAGACAAGCCAAGACACTAAAGCTTATATTTTCAAATGTTTTCTCAATTCAAAGATTTGTATAATCAGTATTTTTAAAGAAAACCTTTGTTCTGGTTGAAAGAAAATGATTTTTTTAAACTTTCAACTACTAAGTCTGGAATTATATTTTTAATCTTCCTGGAAAATTTTATACAGAATTGTTAAAGTAATAGAAAAACATGATTCCTTTCATTATGATTATCTCCTTTATCTTACTGTTTCATTTGGGTGAAACTTTGAAAAATTGGTTTGTTAATACTATTCTTCTAGAAGGTGGGAGGGATGATACCTTTAGTGAAAAGACTCTTTGGTATTTGGTTTGTACATAAGTATTTGCAGTCCAGCCATAGAAAACAAAGAAGATAAGCATTTGATTGTGGGGGGAAGGGTATGGGCTGGCTGAGAAGAGTTGAGTATTTAAAACTGTTTCCTGGTTGCAACTGATTTATTCTTCAGGTTCCCTTGCTAAGACTGGAGGAATGGTGGAAGAGAGAGAATGTATTAATTAATGGAGTAAAATGGGACAGTAATCCAAGCATGAAATCCTACTGGAAAGAACAATAAGAACCTACTCTCCTCACTAAAGTAATAAAAAAACAAAGCACATGCTGAAGTTATAGCTAGTCTTCAGCAATTTCTAACACATTCATTTAAAAGACCCATCTTAGGTTGCTATTTTCATATCTGGATCCTTTGTTTTCTTGACCTTTTTTTTTCCAGAATACCCTTGTGAAATTAGGAAATTAAAGTCCCCTAAATAAAACCAACAGGTTTCGTGACATATATGTACAAATAAGCTCCTTTTTTGGTGATTTTCTGAGACAAACTGATGAATTCTTCATGCTGTCTGTAAATGGAATGTAGATTTTTAATTTTAATAAGGCATAGTATATTTGTAAATTCCTTACTTGCAAGAATAATAGCAGATCATTACCATTTCCACTTTGACTCATTAAAATTCATTTTCTTGAGTTCAATTTACATTTTGGTCCTGAACTTCTCTTGCATGTTGATCCCAGCTTTAGAAAGGAAAGCATAAGGCTAAATGAGGAGTTTTTAAATTATTTCAAAACATCTCAGCTAACATTCATAAGATACAGCAGAAAAACATTAGACCTAATCTATCATCTCTATCAAAATTGAAACTGTAAAAGATTTATCTTAAAATCCATGTCCAACACTTCTGTTGAAACAGTGACTTCTTTTTTGCTTAAAAATATAAAAGTTCATCATGCTCTTGTTACTTTTCTCAATTTACTTAGCAATTATTTTTAAATTGACAGGCTGATGTAAAGATAATTTAATACCAATAATTGAACCTATTTGACAATGTCACCTTATTTGGGATAGGGATTGTCTTGTGCCAATCATTGAAGTAATTTTCCTTTTTTCTAAGTTATATTATTTGCAGGGTAAACTATTCATGTTTTGTTTGATTTTCCTAGCACCTTCCAACACTTGGAGAATAATTTTAAACTAACTACATCTTACTCTGTAAAATAGTTTTTGTAAAGATTTTTTTAAATGTGTACAATTTGATACAAACGAGTATGAAACGTATTATTATTTAATATTTTCCAAAAACTAACATAACTCTATGGTTCCCTTTTCTAATTCTTCTAATTCTAATCAATTCTAATTCTAACCTGGATATTAATAATCTAATTCATAAAAGGGACACTAACAATGGTCATAAAAGTCAAGAAAACATATCAAATTTGTTACATCATAAATAGGGAGGTTCCTATAATAGTGTTAACATTTTCTTATGGGACAATTAAATACAGAATGATGTCACCATCTTTTGTTTTCATTTGTTGAAAATTGCCTAGGATGTTGTACCTTGGTTCTATTAAAACATCTTCTATGGTAACTTCTTAGCTCTTATTATTTCATTATTGCCAAGATATAATGGCATTTTTGGTTTTCATTTAAATTAATGGCCATCCGTTACAAAAACAAATAGAAAATAAACTGAAAAGTAAAAAATTTGGGTGTAGTACTCTATAGGTGTTTACCTGTGGCAACCTTAGAGACACATTCAAAATTTATTATAGTACAAAGCAAATACTGTGACCTTTAAAAACAAATCAAATTCAATTTTGTGTGCAATATTAATAAACAACAACAAAAAGTAATAGTTTTTATCCAGTGAAATAGACAGTAGGGTTAAAGGTAACATTATTCAACAAAGGCAGATATTACAGTGGAGGGCAGTTTTGCCTGGTATGGAATGTAGTCTGTGTGCAGTTGGACAGGAGAGGATATGCATATATTCTAGCTGAGAAGTCCTTTGTGAAGATTTGTGAAGGAGTAAAGCAAGATAGAACTTGTTCTATCTTGTGTTCAAATTCTGAGGTGGCAAGTTAAAACAAGAAAGGTAAGCATTATTGTATTACTTTTTTTCCTTAACTTTCTTTAATAGGATGTTTTTAAAGTTGAGAGAATAGTAACAATACAGATTGAATTAGAAGTAGGATGCTATCAGTACATCAATATTAGAATATTAGAATTTAAAGCAAATGTTTTAAATTTTATCTTTCATGCCTTGTTTTCTATTTAAAAAACTTATTACATATACAAAATATTCAATGACATGATTAAAACAAATAAAAATTTCATGGAAGTAATATGGTCACATATTTTTGCAGTTTTAAATTTTACTTACAAAATTAGAAGTTACTATCAAAGTCTTTTCTGTTTAGTTGTTTCATCACATCTATTTGTGCACAAGATCTATAAAGGGACACTTTATTTTGAGTAGAGTAAGTAGCATTATTTGAGAGAATGTCCCTGCTTTGCTGCTGTTGTGAAAGCAAGTGTTTTTTGAAACTTAAATATGGAGAAAAGACTCAAATTTTTAAGTTAAAGCTGGGTTTTATTATTTCCTGTTTTTTTCTTTATTTATTGAGGGATAGGGAACTTCGTTAAGCCAGAATGTTGTTTTAGGGATGACCACCAATAGATTTTTCAGTGGCTGTAAATGAATGTTGTTTCAATCAATGATAGCTCTTCCTTTTACTGTTATTGTAACAGATTTTCTGTCCTTCACAAAGTAGGGTGTAGGTAAAAGTCAAGGTACACTAAAAAACAATTATTTTAACACTTTTAGTTATTAAACAGATGGAGAATGACCATTACTTTATAAAGAAACAAAAGTTTGTTTTCATTAGAACAAATGATGCATTTACTTTCTCTCCTTATTTCTACCAATGTTCTACTAATATGATAATAACTGAATTACTCTTGGATATGGCAGTTAATAGTAATAGTTATCTTAAAGCTGGATGGGAAAGATTAAAAAAACAAGGAAAAAATGATGTTTTGGCAACTCTTGAATAAGTTTTTTTTAAAAATGCTTCTTTCTACAACTAAATCCAATAATGAAGCTTAGAGTTTTATTGTTTAAACTCTGTAACCATTAAAACTTGAATGTATTGTCAAAATGTTATTACTTAATTACCATAGAAAGAATCTCTTTAATAGGTTGTGGTTTCTTGTAATATACTTTGTATGTGATATAAACAATTCATTTTTAAAGATTTTTTTATGTTTCTTTATAGTAAATTCAAGAGCATGAAAGTAAAACTGAACACTATTAGTTATTTTATAAAAATCTGTTTTCCATGGATTAAAATATGGTTATTTTCCTTCTGATTGTTCTGGGAAAGCTTAAAATATGACCAAATAAAAGTTGACAGAATCAAAGCATTTATAGTATCATAAAACAGGTTTTTCTGATTTAAAAAAAGATAATCTTAAAGGTAATTTAAGGAGACTGAAGTATCTTAATTTTATATATATATATGTCACTGGTTGCATACTTATACTTCATACATGTCCATCATCTCAGTTACTTAATCCAATTAAAGTTGGATATCCAAACAAATTCACTTTGAAAGCAATACAATTTATGCGAATAGCCACAGAGTGCCACTATCAAAGTGATTAAGTAATGTAATGTAGACTCTGGATTTTTAATTCTGCTATGGATATACCAATATAAATATGCACACAAATTATTGTTTTCAAAAATCCAGGCTGAATGGAGGTGCAGTCAAGAAGGCAGACTGTGGTGGAAAGGGAAGTCAAAGTGTTTAAAACACTTGTAACAGGAAAAGGATGTGTGCACCGGAAGATACCTAGATTCACTATAGTAAACAGTAAGTCACAATTTCTCTGAAATTTAATTTCAGTAGTTATGATTTTTGTCTCTGGAAATCTAAACACTCTCTATTTAGTGGAAAGAGGAAAGGGATTGAGGCACTCTATATTAGAGCCCAGTACTGAAAGACTCAAAAGTGGGAAAATGTCTACTCCTTTTTTTATATATTCCAAAATTTTAGCTACTTTGTATAAAGACACTAGGGGGTTAGTTTGTACTTAATTAGGAAATTGGACAGAATATCTTCTCTTTTATATGACTTTCAGTTAAGTCTGTTTCATAATAAAACAATTCTATAATTTGAGGGCTGAAAGGATTATTAGGGATCTGCTTGATTCCCATTTTACAGCTAAAGAAACTGAGTCCAAAGAAGATGAATGCAAATAGACACAGCAATTTAGATACAGGATTGAGATGTGTTCATCACTGAGTGAAACCATGTAACAATCCTGAAAGATAGTAATAAATAGCTTTCCTATTTTTGGTAATAGTAAAACAGACCTGGGACCTCCCTGGTGGCATAGGGGTTAAGTCTCAGTGCTATCACCAATGGCCTGAGTTCCATCCCATCCAGGGAGCTAACCCACATATGAAACAGCAGACTTCTGTTCCCCCACTGCTCTCCTCAGCAGTGTATTTCAGTAAATCTGCCTGTTCTGCTCCCCAGTCTTGTCTCTGGTGAATCCTCTCATCCCTCGCACCTCTCATCTATACTCCAGTTCTTCTTTTTTTTTTAAAAAAAAAAGATTTAGGGCCTCCCGGGTGGCGCAGCGGTCGAGCGAGCGCTGGGTTGCGAAGCTGCCCGCGGCCTCTGCGGCGCTGGTTCGATCCCCGGCTGCTCCCCGGCCACCGGAGGAGGGTCCCACATGGCGCGCAGACCTCTCCTGCCGCCCGCTGCACCCCTCAGCAGTGTACTTCGGTTCTTCTGCCTGCTCTGCTCCCTGCTCTGGCTCTGGTGAATTCTCTCACCCTCCCGCGCTTCTGACTGTACCCAGTGCATGTATAAACAAAACAAACAAACAAATAAATAAAAATAAAACATGCCTCTATAAAAAAAAGAAAAAAGATTTAAAAAAAAATATTTAGTTATTTATGCATACAAGAACTGGGGTACAGGCCAGAGGTATGGAGGGGTGAGAGGACTAACCAGAGACAGAGTGGGGAACAGAACAGGCAGACTGACTGAAACACACTGCTGAGGGGAGCAGTGGGCAAGACATGAGGTCTGCTGTGCCATGTGGGTGTCTCCCTGGCCAGGCATCAAACTCGTGCTGCAGAGGCTGCAGATAGCTTCATAGTTCTGTGCTTAACCCCTGGTGCTACCAGGGAGGCCCAAATAAATAAATATTAAAAAAAAAAAAAACCCAAAGATGTTAGAATAATTTTTAAAAAATAATAAAATACAGGGCCTCCCCAGTGGCGCAGTGGTTGAGCGCTGGGTTGCGAAGCTGCCTGCCGCCTCTGCAGTGCTGGTTCTATCCCCGGCTACCGGGTGAGGGTCCCACATGGCGCGCAGACCCCTCCTGCCGCCCGCTGCTCCCCTCAGCAGTGTACTTCGGTCCTTCTGCCTGCTCTGCTCCCCGCTCTGGCTCTGGTGAATTCTCTCACCCTCCCGCGCTTCTGATTGTACCCAGTGCTTGTATAAATAAATTAAAAAAAAAATCTTTAATAAAAAAAATAAAATAAAATACAACAGAACTAAGGTGAGGTTTGTCCAGACCCAGTATCATTACTTTATCCTAAACAAAGGATCTGCATGTTATTGAAAGCTAATGGCAAAAGTTTTGAGAATAGAACAGATCTTAAAAAGAAAAATATTGGCCTGGTTCATCTCAGTCACTTTGGTCAGGATCTCAAGTAGTTCTATGTGAAAGGCTGGTATGGAAGAAGATTCCCATGATTTCTTTAACCTGTGATTTCTCATAAGCTTAATTCAAGGTCCAACGCTACATCAGAACCCCTAGGAGCTAGGGAGTCTGCATTAGTGTATACCTCATATGCTCTGAGCAGTAAGCTAAGAAATACCTTCTCATATCAAACTTTTAAAACATTATGCTTAGAAATGCTCCAAATTAATAATACTTTATCAGTAGGCTGGAATTTTATTTTCTCTTTGTTCTAGTGAATATTCAGGGTGAGGGGCACTCTATTACATTCTACCTGCCTACCTATCCATCTAGCCACATAGATCCTCTGTGGTATAGCTCAAACTTTCTTCCTCTCCTATCTCTATCTGCTGAATTGTCAAAGAACATGTTACAGAAACTCAACCTCCCTCTCGCTCTTATATATGCTCACACCAGTATGGGGTGGTGGTCACTGGCCATAAATCTTCCTGACTTCCCTGCCCTAGCAGCCTGTTCTAACAGCCTGCTCTAGTCCTTAGATGTTCCTTAGAATTAGAGGCTGAACTTTATTAACTTTGTTTATCTGTATATCTGTTATCTTCACAAACTGGATGCCACCATGGCGCCTGTTTTCTATGTGTGTAACTGACCCTGCTGTGACCCTGGGTCAGTCTTTTTCACCTCTTTGGCTTTTGTTTTCACATCTGTAGATAGTTAAACCATTTATACCTTCCTTTACCTTTTTCACAATGGCAGGGTACTGAGTAGACTTCTGCAAATATTTGCAAAATTTAGTTTTCCAAAAAAAGACTAAGGCTAAGAATATCAATGAAGTTACTGGATCACTTTAGAAAACTCTATAAAATGCAATAGGGGAAGGAATTACTACCTGATGCAGGGAGGGATGTTTTGTTCCATGTAACCATTATAAGAGGGAAGAAAGCCCGCTCAAATAACCACCACTAAGGAACAGTTGGGGAAAGCAGAATAGAAATGAAAATCTATCCCTTGTAAAGGAATCTTTACTGATGCTGACCACTAACATAAGACAATGTCCTGACTAAAAGTTGTAAGAAATTTGTTTCTATTCTCTAAACAAATGAATTTATTTTCATAAAAGATTTCCTTGTGTTAGAATACTCTGAGTTCATGAGAGCTCAAATAAGAAATTATTACCATCATGTATAATTTATGGATTTAAAGGGGAAAAAAGGAAACAAAAATGTCAAAATTACAAAACTGCCAAGTCATATGTCAAATTACTCCTTCAATGTGAAGGTTTTACTAATAATTGGATCTGAACTTTAAATTAGATTTCTAACTGCTTCCCTTTGATTTCTGAAGAATGTATCAATTAGGGTATTTTAATTTATAGAAACAAATTATAGATAGTTAGAACAAAAACTGGAACCTTTTGAGACCAACTGGAAGATATCATTAGATTTAGACTATATATGTTTAATTTAAAGAATTTAAAGTGCTTAGCTTAAATAACCATGTGTACTTATATTCCTGATGGTTTCTTGAAATGGTCTATAAGAATTACCTTTAAAAATAGACATAAAATGTTCATTTGTGCTACAGTGATTATCTCTGGATTGGACTTCTCCCCTCTGGGGTTGACACATTCAATCTGAGTAACATATAAGAGGATCTTTTCCATAGAATTAAAGAACTTCATCAGAGTTGCTCCTTTTTGCAAAATAGCTGTAGCAGTGGTGCCTTACAAAAACTAACAAAAACAAGATTAGCAGGGCTCATTTAAGAGAAAAAAAAATCCTGCATTTGAATCTACATTTTAAATATTTGAAATTAGCCTGATTATTGACTCAAACTTTCATACAATGTGATTGTAATATTGCAGTGTTTTCATCTGTTTAATTCACTCTCATAAAATGGAGAAGCTTGATGTAGCAAACAGTGATTTAAGAGCCATTTCTTATTTCTCATTTATTTAAAATAATAAATTGGAAAGCAAAAAAAATGCTGCTCATAAGAATTTATTGAAAGAGATTTTGCTGATACTTTCACCTATGGTAGTTCACATTTTTATAGTGACTAAAATTTTCAGAATCAAAGCAAATCGAAAGGATATTTCGTTAACAGATTTTATGTAAAAGTGAGTGAAGACTCTAAATGGTGACTTAGCAGAAAAGATTATTTAGCATATTTACTTTTTAGCTCTAAGTGCTTATAAGATTAAAAAAATTTAGCCTGACCCTTTTGTGCTTACATTACAAATAATAATTAGGATACAAGATATTTATTGTATAAAACTTTTATTCTACAAGTTTTGAAATATATCTTTAATGAGAAAAATTGATACAGTCTAAAATCAGGATGAGAAAACAGAATGGGAACAAACTGGGGGAGGGTTTGTTCTTTTAATTTCTGAACTATTACTTTTTCAGTTAATGTACTTCATGTCCTTGACACATTCAAAGGTAGACACATTGTGCACTTCATATTTTTTTTTAAGATTTATTTATGTATACAAGAGCTGGGGTACAGGCCAGAGATGTGGAGGGTGAGAGGACCCACCAGAGACAGAGTGGGGAACAGAACAGTCAGACTACTGAAATACACTGCTGTGGGGAGCAGCGGGCCAGACAGGAGAGGTCAAATGCAGATATTTTTTGGTCTGTGTTGCTCACTGCTAAATTTCCACTACCTGAAATTATGTCTGCATATGGTATATACTCCATAAATATTTATTGGGTGAATGCCTGCTACCATCTCACATCCAACCTTCTATGAAGAAGGTATTGGAAGTTGTTTGACATACAAAAACTAGGGGTTTTGTGCAAATACATACTCACTTCACCCTCTGAAAGCCATGTGGTGCCCTATTTCAAAGAAAAAACTAGCTACTTTGGGACTGAAAATATAGTCAAAACTTTTTAAGCAAACTATGTTAGAACTCTATAGTTTTCATAATTCATATTAGTCAATTTGTACATCAGTCATCAGTACAATTATCTCAGATAAAGCATCACAAACAATTTGTCACTTCATATACGTGGACTAACTTTTTAAAAAAAAGGATAGAGGGCCTCCCCGGTGGCGCAACGGTTGAGCGCTGGGTTGCAAAGCTGCCCGCGGCCTCTGCAGCGCCGGTTCGATCCCCGGCTGCTCCCCGGCCACCAGAGGAGGGTCCCACATGGCGCGCAGACCTCTCCTGCCGCCCGCTGCTCCCCTCAGCAGTGTACTTCGGTCCTTCTGCCTGCTCTGCTCCCCGCTCTGGCTCTGGTGAATTCTCTCACCCTCCCGCGCTTCTGACTGTACCCAGTGCATGTATAAAAAAAACAAAACAAACAAACAAACAAATAAATAATATGCCTCTATTAAAAAAATAAAACAAAAATAAAAAAAGGATAGAGAGCAGAAATGAATAAAAAGGAAACTTTTAAAGACTTCTATGATTTTTGTTACATTGGCAAATACACTGAGTAAACATGAGGTTTTTATGATATGATGCTAATGATGTAGCCTTTTGACATACTCCTATTTGTAGAGGAAAATGGCAAAATTGTCATGAAAAAGAGCTAGCCTGTGACCTAATAAACCTCTTAAACAATAATTCTTGGGTTAAAAATGTAAAGTTCATGAGAACCTCAAATAAATGATCAAATGGGGCCTCCCTGGTGGTGCAAGGAGTTAAGACGCAATCTATGAAGCTGTCCGCAGCCTCTGCAGTGCAAGTTTGATCCGCGGCTGGCCAGGGAGAAACCCACATGGCTCAGCAGACCTCTCCTGTCTCGCCTGCTGCTCCCCTCAGCAGTGTACTTAGGTCAATCTGTCTGTTCTGTTCCCCACTCTGTCTCCGGTGAATCCTCTCACCCCCCTGCATCTCTGGCCTGTACCCCAGATCTTATATGCATAAATAAATAAATATTTTTTAAAAATGATCAAATGGTATTCTCGAAAATTAAAATAAACTTATTTCACTTCCCTTTTAGCTATAATTTCAGATAGTGAACTATAACCTTTGATTTTTATGGAATTCTTAATTTTTACATTTTTAATTTCTTGATGCACACTATCAAAGAGTTAGCATTATCCAAAATATAGTGGTAAAATATCATAAGATTTCATTGTGTGGTTACCTAACAATGTATATAATCCCTTGATTTTGAAAATGATGACTATAACATAGCTTTTTCTGAAAAGACATTTTATGTATTGGGCATAATTTGAACTGGATTTGTTCAAGTCTGAAATTCTCTCTCTGGTAAGTGTCATCAAAAAACATTTGATGAAACAGTGTTTATTTATTTATTCAACAAATATTTGTAACTCCCAAAGAAAGGTGTAGAGCACTGTGAAAGAGATTGATACATAAGGTGTGGTCTTTACCCTTAAAGAAGTAGTGTATACATGTTGTTTATGTAATGATTGAAGTATCAGTGATGTATCCAGGATGCCCTTAATTTCTTCTTCTTTTTTTTTCTTTAAGTCCTGTGCCACCAGGGAGGCCCGTAGCATCGCATTTTAAAGCTTTGATTTGAGAATTTATCAAAAGCCCTTCTTGAACATATCTAAATGATATGGAAATATCAAAATTACAAAAAAAAAACAATACTTGTATCAAATAAAATATTTTTGAGAAATTGTTGTCAACCAGAGATTTCTTGGGTTGTCTGAACAGAGATTGGCAATAAGCAGCCACAAGCTCACTTCCCTAACTCCTAAAGGACTTTCTTTCCCCCAAGATCGCAAAGATTGAAAGCAAGCTTTCCAATTCTAAATAGCAGGGGGATGAACAAGTTCACGCTGATCCCACCCATTTCTTCTGGCAATTTTTGAACCTCAATTATATAGTTGTTGTTTTGATTTGCTGTATTTTATTGTCCTGGTTTCCTCAGTCTAGACTTGTAAAATTCTCATTGATAGATTCCTTTCCTTTGATCATTTGCTGCCTTTTCCAAGATTTGTTCTCCTTTTATTGTTTTTGTAGCAATATTCATACAAACATGGATTTCTTACAATTTTTTGAAAGTACCTCTTCTATTTTCTGTCTTGTTTCAGTCATCTGTGAATAGCCCACAGGAAGAGAAGATTTCAAGCTTTTTCAGCTACATTTCAGACTGCTGTTTAAATGCAACGATATTTGATAAGTCTTCGATCTTTGTGCAGTTTAGTGGTTATTATTCCAGAGCCAAGCTCTTCACATTTCCTCTTCCCCTTTATCTAGGCTGAAGCTTGTCTTGTACTCATGTTCTTGGGCAAATAGGTAGAGGAAAAAAAATACATAATTGTTGACCAGTGTATTGAAGTGATGAGTAGAAATTATATCAGTTGATTACCATATTCCCAGAGGCAAATACTCTTACCTACTGATGATGTTGCACACAAGTTTGGCCTTACACATTTATCTGACTGTTCCTTAATTTGAAAATGAGGGGACTGGAATAAAAGATCTTTAAAGTTCTTAAAAGCTCTAAAATTTTACTGATTCTCTTAAAACAGGAAACTGTTACCCCAAGGATGACTTCCTTAACAGTTTAGTTTTCTGCATTCAATATTTAAGATTGCCTAGAGAAACTTATAACCAATTAATTATAATGAGGTTGATTCTGCTGAGAAGAAATGCAGAATATGCTAAAGGATGGTAAATCTCCATTTGTAATTGTAATTGTAAATCTCCATTTGAACTTGGACAGGGAATATTTCAGAGATTTTTGTACTCTGTTTGTAGCATAACTCTTTTTTTTTTTTTAAACCTCACTTACAAATAAAGTTAAATGAGGGATGAGTATCTAGCATCATTTAAAAAAAAAATCACCATTTGTCCTTATTAAAATATACAATTCAGGGCCTCCCTGATGGCGCAAGGGGTTAAGACAAAACCTATAAAGCTGTCCACAGCCTCTGCAGCATAAGTTCGATCCCCTGGCCAGCCAGGGAGCTACCCACATGGTGCAGCAGACCTCTCCTGGCTCCCCCACTTCTCCCCTCAGCAGTGTACTTCATTTAATCTGCCTGTTCTGTTCCCCACTCTGTCCTAGTGAATCCTCTCATGCCCCACACCTGTGGCCTGTACCCCAGCTCTTGTATGCATAAATAAATAAATCTTAAAAAAAAACATACAATTAAAAAAAATAAAATATACAATTCAGTAGCATTTGATACTTTTACAATGTTGTATGACCATCACCCCTAGCTAGAGTTATAGAAAATTTTCATCACCTCCAAAGGAAGCCCTGAGGGGCTTAACATCTAACATTATATTGGTTTCAGGTATACAACATAATGATTCAATGTTTGCATACAATGTGAAATTATCTTGAATTACTTTTAAGAGGGGGCAGACGTATTTTAGGACACGTGCACATTTACTCTTCTGATTTCAGTACTTATACACTTAAACATGAATGCTATTCTTAGTACTCACTTTCACTTACATGTAGGCTGAAACCACTAAGATTCAAGAAATTTAAACTAATTACAATTATACCTTGAGAATACATGGAGCATTAAGTAATGAGATACAGTTCTATGATACAGTATTCTTATCTGTTATATTTTGGTTTTATCTCATGTTTGATCTTCTTAAATCTTTTTACTTTTTGGCTTATATAGTACACAATATATTACTGTTTGCATTTTTCTCACAATATGAAACTAGAATTTACTTTCCAAAGGATTAATCTGTACTAGACATTGGTCTATTTCTAGACTTTTATTCTGTTTTACTCATCTGCCTGGCTATTCAAGGACTACTGCACCACTGTTTTAGTTAGGCGGTTTTTTGTTATTTTCGATATCTGGCAAAAAGAGTCTCTGTCTGTAGCTCTTCTCCCCTGTCCCTAAGTACTTCCCTTGCCCAGATTTTTCATAGCTATTCCAGAAGGTTCAGCTCTGCAAGTGAACTTTAGACTCATATTATCTATCTCCTAGGCAGGGGGAGGAACTTGGACAGGGAATATTTCAGAAATTTTTGTACTCTGTTTAATTTTGCTGTGTTTAATTAAACTGTTCTTAATTAATAAAGGTTATACCTTTTAAAAGCTTGTTCAAGGGCCTCCCCTGGTGGCGCAGCGGTTGAGTGCTAGGCTGTGAAGCTGCCTGCAGCCTCTGTAGCGCTGGTTTGATCCCAGGCGGCCGGTGAGTGTCCCACATGGCTCACAGACCTCTCCTGCCACGCCCGCTGTTACCCTCAGCAGTGTATTTTGTCAGTCTACCCGTTCTGTTCCCTGCTCTGGCTCTGGTGAATGCTCTCACCCTCCCACACTTCTGACTGTACCCAATGCTTGTATAAATAAATAAATAAATAAATCTTTTTATAAAAATAAAAATAAAAACTTGTTCAAATAGGTGAACTGTGGTGCATTTATATATATTTTGGGAAGAACTGACACCTATATGATTTTATGTTATTTTTTTTTAAACTTTTTTTTTAAAGATTTATTTATCCATTCATACAAGAACCAGGGTACAGGCCAGATACACGGGAGGGTGAGAGGATTCACCAGAGACAGAGCGGGGAACAGAACAGGCAGACTGACGAAATACACTGCTGAGGGGAGCAGCGGGCGAGACAGGAGAGGTCTGCTGCACCATGTGGGATTCTCCCTGGCCTGCTGGGATCGAACTGGTTCTGCAGAGGCTGCAGACAGCTTCACAGCACTGTGCTCAACTGCCTGGGCCACCAGGGGAGGCCCATAAAGATTTATTTTATTTATGCATACAAGAGCTGGGGAATAGGCCAGAGGTTTTGGAGGTGGGAGGATTCACCAGAGACAGACTGTTGAGGAGAACAGGCAGAATGATTGAAATACAATGCCGAGGGGATCATTGGGTGAGACAGGAGAGATCTGCTGAGCCATGGGGTTTAGCTACCTGGAGGGGGATCGAACTCCTGCTGCAGTAGCTACAGATAGCTTCATCGTGCTGAGGCAACCTCTTGCACCACCAGGGAGGCCCTGTATTTTTTTTTTTTATTTAAGATTTCTTTCTTTCTTTTCTTTTCTTTATACAAGCACTGGGCACAGTCAGAAGCGCGGGAGGGTGAGAGAATTCACCAGAGCCAGAGCGGGGAGCAGAGCAGGCAGAAGGACCGAAGCACACTGCTGAGGGGAGCAGTGGGCGGCAGGAGAGGTCTGCGGGCCATGTGGGACCCTCCTCAGGTGGCCTGGGAACAGCCGGTGATCGACCCGGCGCTGCAGAGGCTGCGGGCAGCTTCGCAACCCAGCGCTCAACCGTTGCGCCACCGGGGAGGCCCCCTGTATTTGCTTTTAAATGTGCTTACTTGCTGATATTTATTCAGAATTTTATTAATACTCACGTGACCTTTTAGTTTTTATGTGTGTGCTACCTTTATTAAGTTTAGATATACATGCTAAAATTGCTTCACAAGGGCCTCCCTGGTGGCGCAAGGGGTTAAGATGCAACATATGAAGCTATCCGCAGCCACCACAGCATGAGTTCGATCCCTGGCTAGCCAGGGAGTTACCCACATGGTGCAGCAGACCTCTCCTGACTCGCCTGCTGCTCCCCTCAGCAGTGTATTTCAGTCAATCTGCCTGTTCTGTTCCCAACTCTGTCTCTGGTGAATCTTCTCACCCTCCACACCTCTGGCCTGTACCCCAGTTCTTATATGCATAAATAAATAAATCTTTAAAAAACATTGCTTCACAAAACAATTCGTGATTTTTTTTTTGTTATATGAGACAATTTGGATAATATTGTTTTTTTTTTAAAGATTTATTTATTTATGCATACAAGAATTGGGGTAAAGGCCAGAGGTGCAGGGGGTGAGAGGATTCACCAGCGACAGAATGGGGAACAGAACAGGCAGACTGACTGAAATACACTGCTGAGGGGAGCAGCTGGGGAGACAGGAGAGGTCTGCTGAGCCATGTAGCTTGCTGGGGTTCTGAACTCCTCCTTCAGAGGCCATAAACAGCTTCACAGTGCTGTGCTTAACCCGTTGAGCCACCAGGAGGCCCCTGGATAATCTAGTTTTTGAAGTTTTGTTAGAATTGCCCATTGAGATCAAGTGGATGTGGTGCTTTTTCCTAATTTTGTTCTTTAATACATTTATCTGTTTCTTCTAGAAATTACCTTTCTAGAGAAACTCTATCTATAGAGGATGATATTTTTATTTTTTTTTAAGATTTATTTAGGCATACAAGAACTGGGGTACAGGCCAGAGGTATGGAAGGTGAAAAGATCTATCAGAGGCAGAGTGGGGAACAGAACAGGCAGACTGACTGAACTACACTGCTGAGCAGCAAGCTATACAGGAGAGGTCTGCTGTGCCATGTGGGCAGCTCCTTGGCTGGCCGGGGATCAAACTCCTGCTGCAGAGGCCATGAACAGCTTCACAGTGCTGTGTTTAACCCCTTGAGCCACCATGGAGGCCCAAGGAAGATATTTTTTAAAGGAAGCATTTTATTTTTATTTATTTTTTTTTACACCATTGTTCGTTTTTAAACAACGTTGCTTTTCCCCCTCCGCCCCCCAGGGTGTTGGCCCCATAGAATTTCCTTCACCAATGCAGAGGGTGCACCATCACCACAGTCCCTTGTGCTCTTCCCTCCCTCCCTCTGATCCCTCTCCCTCCTCCTCCCCTCCAGGATGTCTCTGGTTTATAATTATCTGTTTGTTTTTGTTTTTTTTTTTTGTGTTTTGTATTATTATTTTTCCCCCTGATGTCTTATTTGGTTCCCCTATATTCCTCCTATAAGTGAAACCATCTGAGGTTTTTTTTTCCTTCTGATTTATTTCAGTGAGCATAATTCACTCTAGCTCCATCCGTGTTGCTGTGAATGGCATTAGTTTATCTTTTTTGATTGCTCTGTAGTATTCCATGGTGTATGTATACCACATCTTCTTGATCCAGTCATCTATTTTGGTAATTTGTGTTGTTCCAAGGTTTTACCTATTATAAATAGTGCTGCAATAAACACAGGGGTGCAGGCATTCTTTTTTTTTTTTTTTAAAGATTTATTTATTTATACAAGCACTGGGTACAGTCAGAAGAGCGGGAGGGTGAGAATTCACCAGAGCCAGAGTGGGGAGCAGAGCAGCCAGAAGGACCGAAGTACACTGCTGAGGGGAGCAGCGGGCGGCAGGAGAGGTCTGCGCGCCATGTGGGACCCTCCTCTGGTGGCCGGGGAGCAGCCGGGGATCGAAATGGCGCTGCAGAGGCTGCGGGCAGCTTCCCAACCCAGCGCTCAACCGCTGTGCCACCAGGGAGGCCCTGCAGGCATTCTTTTGAATTAATGTTTTTGTGTTCTTTTGGTAGATCCTTAGGAGTGGAATTGCTGGGTCATATGGTAGCTTAAAAGGAAATCTTTTTATATATGTGAACTTTAGTCAACTAATTCCCTCCCAGAGGAAACTACCATGTCCATTTCATATTTATTTCCAGAGTATTTACAGCAAATATGTGCTTATTTCTATTT